ACCACCTTGGAGCCATCAGGTGAAAACTGAAAACAGGAGGGATTCACAGACAGAGCATGGAGATCCCCGACCCGTTTAACAGTTGTTAGTGCCAGAAGCAACACAACTAAATATGAAAGGAACTTCAAATCCACAATCGCTATCACACGGTAGCTGAAATAACCTGTCCATAATGAGAAATTATCTTTAGATAACAACTCTTGTTCTTTTGAGATACCGGTAATAATTTATCTTTTTATTTTCAGAAAACAAAGCTTGTTTTGTATTAATATATTTTAACATCGAAAGACGAAGTTTATTTTATTCAATAACTAAATATTTTCTTCACAATCAYAATTAAACAAAAGGGGAGAAATTAGTGCGAAAGAGCTTTATACGGCTGGCCAACTCTCCATAAATCAGCATTATAATATAAATCAAACTAATTGTCACTGAAACCATAAAAGTTTATAGTTTCTGAAACTCTAGTGTCATGAACATGTGAAAATTACAGAAAATATTTGTAAAGACGACTGTTTCACAGACTGATGTATTTGTAAGCGCACTAACCTCTGTTGTGCATGTAATTTTAGACTTAACTGTGAGTTGTGGCTGCTGAAAACAACACAAAGCTTCATTTTGTTCCATTGATGAACCAGGCTCTCTGCTCCAACAGCTCGTATTCTTCTGCAGCTTGATGCACCGGTTCATAACAGTAACGCAGACAATAAGCTGCTCTTCACATTGAGCGCCTTTGTGACTCATCAAAACYGCTGCTGCTCACCAGTTGCACGCACTTATGCAGAGAAGAATACTGAAAGGCAACAGCTCGCTCTGCCCGACAGTCTGCTGCAGCAGCAAACATCCAGGAAAAAGAGAAAGAAGAAGAAAAAAAGGTGTCTTTTTAAGGCAGAACAAATGAAGCAGCAGAGCTCAGAATGCTGCCTCTGGCATGGTTTGAGGAGATAATGAAAGGAGTCTCAGAGAAAAACAGGGAAAAAAAAACAATTCAATAGCCTGAGTCAAGTTCGTAGTCCGTAATGWGTATTGTTGTCTCTATTCTGCATTAATGACCATGAGCATCGTGGTAAAACAAACTGCTACAGCGGAATAAACTTGTTTGCTCATGTTTCTATCTGTGTAGTTGAAGGCTATAGTCTTTAAAATACATGGTACATGGTTTGAGTCACAAAATAAGTTTATTTTTGAAATCTTCTCATTTGTTATTTTTATGTAGTATAACGCTCTTTCTCCCTGAATGCAGACCAACAACGAGCTCAGTGACAGAAAACTGACATTAACGGTTATTTTCAGCTGTATCCAAATTCAGGGGCTGTTTCCCAAAGTTGAGGTCGGGACCCAAAGTGGGGTCCCAAAACATCAAGGTGGGGTCCTGAAAAGATTTTCTGAATTAATTACATTTTTGTTTTAGTTGTTATGAAGGAGTGAGGTTAGTATATTTAAAATTGATAAATGTAGTATAAAAATATTGTTACCATGCCCATGTTTTGTTGACCTGATACAAATGTTTACCATCCAAAAATAGTTGGGGGCACAGGTCTCTGCTACTGTTATTTTGTGGGTCAAAAGCTGAAAAGTTTGGGAACCACTGCACTTTGGTTCCCAAAGTTGGGCTTGGGACCCAATTATGGGTCATGAAGCACCTTGGATAATCTCCAGAAATCAATTTAAAGGATAATAAAATAATTGCTGATGTAATATTTTCCCTATAATTATTACAAAAACACAAAATAAGTGTAAATAACTATTTCTATTTGTGTACAAGCTGTTTAGATTGTCAAAAAGCCTGTGTTTTTAGGGTTATTAACAAAGTTTGTGCACTCAGACCAGTAATATTTGGGGTCACAAGTTTTTGCCATGTTTACTTTGTGGGCCAGAAGATAAAAAGTTTGGGAGCCACTRCTTTAAAGGACCTGGCCTACGTGGGCCAGGTCCTTTGTGTCGACAGCAAAGTGACTGTGAATTTGGACAGTTTACCTGCCACAAGCTTGTTTTAGATGATTTCTGACAATAATAGTAAATAATACGTCCATGTAAATGACAAAAGCCTAAAAACAACCATTTTAAACATTGGATTTTTGTACCACTTATGTTATTTAAAACTGTACTCCTGTCTCGCTCCATCTCTCATTTCCTCTGCCATTACAAGCAAAAACAAAAATTGTCCAGTCGGCCCGCAATATATCTTAAGGATAGGGTGGGCTGAGAATAATCCACTGGACATGTCCCTGAAATCAGGGGAATGGGAGGAGTCTTCGAATTTGGACAACCTCAAGCATCGCTGTGATGTAATGAGCCTCTGACAGATAMATCCCCTGAATTTAGACACAGCCATCATGTTGCTGTGAGCTACAGAGGCTAGTTTCACTTAAGGGCTGGAAACTGAACCTCATCTTTTATTTAGCATCTTATTTTTTTGGCTCATATCTGATATATGATTTTTAAATCAGTAGCTACAGATTAAACAGAAGAGAATCCAACCTGCAGAGCATTTTAACAGCATAATTAGCTCATTAAGGTATGTGTGCTGATATGCGTTTGTCCGTTTGATACACACAGTGGCAAGGTGAAAGACAGGAGTTCTGCCCGAATGCCAAAGTGGTGCTGGTTGGCTGCAAGCTGGACATGAGGACGGACCTCAATGTCATGAGAGAACTCTCCAAACACAGACTCATTCCTGTCACCCATGAACAGGTGAGGACAACTTTTCATTTCTAAAAACTGAWCAAGCTCTTTATTAAGCATCATATAGATCATCAACACTTTCCTACTTGGGGCACACAAACAAAACTTCAGAAAACAAATATGGAGAATGACATTTGCTCCACATCCTAATTTCCAAGAATATGGAAACCCAGGAAGGAACGGAGCTGGAACTGAACAAAGGAGGAGACAAATAACAGTTGTGCGATAAGACAATTGTTTTGTTTGTGTCTTGGAGCGATGAAAAGAAGCGTGTGTGAATTTTAATTGCCTATTTCCATGTAAATGTGAACTCCCCACTTCTTKGCAGCCTTTTGTCAACACATTAATATTTCCTCACCAAACAAACGTAATGACCTTTTTGATTTCCAAGTCTGAGACGACATCAGATTTGGTACAGCTCAGGATCTTTGGATTGGTTGTCATCGATTCCAAATCATGGATGCCAAATCAAAAATTTCTGATGTTTTTCAAAACTGGCAACTGCACTCAAAATTATTCCCTCAAAGGCAACCAATGTCATTCCCATTCAAAAATAAACGTAAACCTTAATGTTATTCATGACATTTGTGTGTCGAGTCATGTGGAAGTAGTTGGCACAAGTGAAACTTTCTGCAAAACTGAGCAAAAACAAGCTTTTMACATGGTTTTTACTTGTTTTAGTAAAAATGTTTAACGGTGTGGCAAATTGACAGAGACAGAAGTACATTTGCAGCCAGTAAATTACTTAAATAACTTGCAGTGAAAACTATATGATTGTTAGAACTCCGTGAAGGCACTGACTCAGTGTCTAAATGTTTCGTTGTGGACCAGTAGGAAATCAGAAATGCACAGACTGCTAAAAGCCACAAGAAAAGGTACCGGGTATTTAAAGAAAAAAAAACTGCTTTGAGGAAATCTGTATATGCAGTGGCATTTAATTTGTCTCTCATGTTTAGTTAAAATACCATTAAAAAAGCTGGAGTTACAAAAGTACTTAAAGTCSTTGCGTGAACCAAAGAGCCTAAATATCAGAGGCCCCATAAGCAACAACAAGCTGAGTCTTTTTATTTTTTTATTTCACCCCGCTGGTGTGAGCCTCAGCGTAAAAAGATTCAAGGATGGACCAGGTTTAACGGTATTAAAATGTTGGAGCTTTTTCCTCCATTAAAAACAGCTCAAATCTTTAATATTTTATAAGACATTACAGCCTCATTTTGTAGTCTTACGCTGCAGCTCAGTGTAGATTTTTAACTGCTGAAAAATGTCATGATGACAAAAGACATAAAAAATGGGCTTTAAACTTAAAATGAAGCCTAAAGATGAATTACCTACAATCAAAGCACTATTTTTTCTTCATAAGCTGAAATAAACACAGAACAAGTGAGGAAAAAATGGCATCTATATGTACCATTTCAAACCATCCAGATTTAAGGGTGTGTTTAAAAACCTCCAGGAATACACTGAGCTTTTATGCTTGTTGCATAGAAAGGCTTTGAATATTTTATTGCTTTGGGGAGGATACGTTCTGTTAGCCCCAACAATCTATCAGGTCTTTACTGGTGAAAGCAGGACTTTTGTACTTCAGTATGCATAAAGGCCTAATGTCTACAAAACAAAGCAACTGATTTAAAGTGAAACATATAAAAACTCGAAGCACTCAGGGTGCAAACCTCTGCCAAGATCAATTTCCGCCATCCTGGTATAGAGTTAATGCGCAAAAGCAGAGATGGAAACACATTTGCAGAATAAGTTGTGACATAGTGAACATTTAAGCAGGCAGTATGCACAGAATTTCTTCCCGGTGGAGTCCAATGTGGAGGAAAAAAAAGAAAAAGAAAGTCAGATTCATCACCCGACGTTATTCATCGTCAAACTGGTGTCGGATTAAGCTCCTAAGTTTTCATCAATCACATTTCACTGTGTAAAATGTCTGTTTTATCCCCTTGTATGAGCTTGTAATGGGTTGACTCTCTATATGTGCTTCCTGGTACCATCGCTCTGGAAGCGAGTGGGTCAGCACGACAGAAAACATTACCTCGCCCCTGGTCTCATTTAAATAATAAAAATGAACAAACAAACAACCTCCGAGTCAAGTCCACTGCACCTGTGCGCATCACTCCTCTTCCTCGTTCTTCATCTATCTGTTTACAAGCCTACGGACAATGTGGTGTGTTTGAGGAAATGGGAAAAATGGGTTTCTTGGTGCAGTCACGCACTTCCTGGTCACAAGACGTTCTCTAAATGCGCACCAAATGCGTAAAAATGCGCACATTATGGCAAGACTTATTCATCATTACAGCTGGTTTTAACATTACTTTTATAAAGTTTGAAGTCCGTGCTGTGTAATCCAGTTCAATTGACCACTGAACGCTCTCACTATTTTTTACAGAAGCCCTGTGAAAGCATCACAGCTTTGCCGATCTGAGAGGATTGATAGAAAAAAAAATTCCTGTGACCGCATCGTGATCCGGAACATCACCAAAATTTAATGGTGTGTTACATGGGCGAGTTGTAAATGTCACGACAATCCGTCCACAGGTTTTTGAGTAATGTTGTCCACAGACAGGCCGAACGACAGGCCGACATGTGTGACCGAAAACATTACCTCCTTGGCGGAGGTAATGAAAACGCAGTTTGGAGAGTGATGTTAAAACTGTGCGCTTAAAGAATTCCTCAAATACTACATGCTTTACTTGGCGCCACTGAAACATGAGGCATTTTTAGTAGCTACAAAAGAAAAACATCGTTTTAAACAATGTTTAAATCTAAATAATAAAACCATCATTTCCACCAAGCATACAATGAGTTTATTGGATTTCAAACAGACTGAACCACAAGGATAGAAACAGGTTTTTCTTCACTGGTGTTGCAGAGGTGTTTTGGTGATTGTTAGAGTCTACCTCTTGACCTCTGACCCCCCTGAGCTGATGAAGCAGGTGGCCTCCTTCCCTGTTTCTGGTTCTGGGTTGGAGGTCTCCACCTGTTTGCTCTCACCTGCTGCCCTCTGTGCTCAGGTTGAGGGACTGAATGCATGTTTTTGCATTTCATTATCTGAGGGATTTTCACATTTTTGGYAGACTATCTTGAATAATAATGTGCAATGACAAAATGTTTGCTCAACATTTGACCCATTACACAAAGGATACACCGAAATGGAGCAGCGGGCAGCTATGTAAGTGCCCCGAGAGCAGTTTAGGGAATAGGTGTCACGCTCAAGGACATCACAAAATGTGCACATGGTGGGGAATCAAACATGTGACTTTCTGTACCCAGGTCGACTGCCCCACCACTAGGGATATTTATAAGAGCATTAAACAAGTCTCTTGTGGTTTATAACAAACTAAWATAAAAAATAATGTTACGCAGCATGTTAAGTTTGCTAATAGGCATAATAATTTGATTAAGTTATTACGCCTATTAGCAAATATACGAGTGATTTTCCTGACAGCTCATTGTGCTAACACCCCTAAGGTTTGTGATTTTTCTATTTATGTGTATCTTTAAAAAAAAAAACTCAACTAAAAAAAGGTTTGCGTATTTTTCTCTTTTTGTTTTYAGGGCACTAACTTGGCGAGACAGATCGGTGCGGTGGCCTACGCAGAGTGCACCTCCAAGTACTCGGAGAACAGCGTCCGGGACGTGTTCCACATCACCACCCTGGCGTCCGTGTCCAACATCCACCGGCCTCAGCTCAAACGCGTCGGCACGCGTCGCGGCCACAAGCGGAGCTCGCAGCAGCCTCCTCGGACTGAGATTCACGAGCACCCACCTGCCGTCAGAAAGGACCGAGCCAAAAGCTGTGTGCTCATGTAGGACCGGAACCTACCCCAAAAACCTGATCTCTGTGTGTGTGTGTGTGCGTGTTGATGGACATGAACCTAATTTATTGGTGAATTCTTGTAAGACCGTTGCACTGCAGAATGAACAGTATGACAAAAACAAGAACGAGCGCTGTCCTATGGAGCTCATTGAAGGATTGTTGGTCCGTTTTTTTCCTCACAGCTCTGCTTGTAATTTTTTTTTCTTTGTGGCTGTTGTTATCATCAGGGGATACTACTGTAGTGACTGACGCTACCTTTCGTTTTGAAAGCTTTCACACGAACAAGAGGACCAAAACAAGGAGGTTCGCGAATGAAACAGGACAGCAAGAGAAGTGAGATTTAAGAAAAACATAATTGGAAAGACCTTTTTTTTTTACAGCAAGCAGAATTTAACAAAGCTGGGTTTTACTTTGATTGTGCTTTATGTTTGAAATGTTCAGGCGTAAATGAAAGCACAGAATGATGCAAGAAAAGTTTTCTAAAAAAATAAACAGTAAATGTTGTAGCGGCGAGCATTGCTGTTCAACCTCATCTAATAAAAGAAAAATCTGGACAAACGAATCGAAAACAACACTGAAACTTGGGCTAAGGTGACACCAATCTCTTAAACCACAAGTGCTTTTAGTATAAATAAACAAAGAAGTCACTCACTATATAATACCAGATGTGTATAAATGCTCCTGTTCTGATAATCCAGGCTGGAAAARAATGTCTTGAAAGGCTTTAGGAGGATGAAAATGATGATGTACATGCAGTTATGAAAAATAATGATAATAAAAATACTTGGTCTGCTAAGTGTTCTTTTCTATTTTTATTATGCCATTATCTTTGAGATCAGTTGGTTATAAGATGTGTTTTTTAAACAATTTACTATGTTAAAGTAATAATGGTTTGATAGCTAAAAGTTAAGTACACTAAATTTTTAATGGTGYAATGGTTTGTTTTTAATGATAGTAGTTGGTGAATTATACACCGGMCACTTTWTTAGGTACACCTGTCCAACTGCTCGTTAACACTTAATTTCTAATCAGCCAATCACATGGMGGCAACTCAGTGCATTTAGGCATRTAGACATGGTCAAGACAATCTCCTGCAGTTCAAACCGAGCATCAGTATGGGGAAGAAAGGTGATTTGAGTGCCTTTGAACGTGGCATGGTTGTTGGTGCCAGAAGGGCTGGTCTGAGTATTTAAGAAACTGCTGATCTACTGGGATTTTCACGCACAACCATCTCTAGGGTTTACAGAGAATGGTCCGAAAAAGAAAAAACATCCAGTGAACGGCAGTCCTGTGGGCGGAAATGCCTCGTTGATGCCAGAGGTCAGAGGAGAATGGGCAGACTGGTTCGAGCTGATAGAAAGGCAACAGTGACTCAAATAACCACCCGTTACAACCAAGGTAGGCAGAAGAGCATCTCTGAACTCACAACATGTCGAACTTTGAGGCAGATGGGCTTCAGCAGCAGAAGACCACACCGGGTGCCACTCCTTTCAGCTAAGAACAGGAAACTGAGGCTACAATTTGCACAAGCTCATCGAAATTGGACAAGAGAAGATTGGAAAAACGTTGCCTRGCCTGATGAGTCTCGATTTCTGCTGCGACATTCGGATGGTAGGGTCAGAATTTGGCGTCAACAACATGAAAGCATGGATCCATCCTGCCTTGTATCAACGGTTCAGGCTGGTGGTGGTGGTGTCATGGTGTGGGGAATCTTTTCTTGGCACTCTTTGGGCCCCTTGGTACCAATTGAGCATCGTTGCAACGCCACAGCCTACCTGAGTATTGTTGCTGACCATGTCCATCCCTTTATGACCACAATGTACCCAACATCTGATGGCTACTTTCAGCAGGATAATGCGCCATATCATAAAGCTGGAATCATCTCAGACTGGTTTCTTGAACATGACAATGAGTTCAYTGTACTCAAATGGCCTCCACAGTCACCAGATCTTAAATAGAGCATCTTTGGGATGTGGTGGAACGGGAGATTYGCATCATGGATGTGCAGCCGACAAATCTGCGGCAACTGTGTGATGCCATCATGTCAATATGGACCAAAATCTCTGAGGAATGCTTCCAGCACCTTGTTGAATCTATGCCACGAAGAATTGAGGCAGTTCTGAAGGCAAAAGGGGGTCCAACCCGTTACTAGCGTGGTGTACCTAATAAAGTGGCCGGTGAGTGTATGTACAGCAGGTAAAATCTTGGAAATAATGAATAAAGTTGAACAAATAGCATCTAACCTAAAATTTATTAGCTGGAAGAAAAAAAAGGAATAAGAGACACATTTATAAAAAATTCTCTAATAAACGCTTGATTTTTTTWAATCTGCCAATTTAGCTCAGTATCAGTAACATTAACAATGAATGTTTTGCTCAAGAAGACCACAGGTTCTGAATGTTGCATCAATAAATATTGCTCACAACGCTGAGCTCATTTAACTTCCGCACATCTTTGTAATATAAACGCGTTCTCTTGATATTAAAAATGGATGCAGCAGTTCTGTCTGTATTCATGAGCCTTCATGCCTGACCTTTAACTAAGACTGTTGTTCCAGTTTGTTTCCCACCACCATGCACAAAGCCCCACAGCAACTCGCTGCCTTTGTGAGAAACGGCAAAGTGACATTTCACAGCATCGCTGCCATGTTGCCGATGCGGGGAGTGTGAGGTCACACCACATGCCAGAGGCCAAACTGGGGCGAAACCCCCGTCAGTGAGGAGAGGACGTCCCMACAGATGAAACAGAAACTATTACAACACAAAGTCTCTACAACCCATTATGAACTGATGCCTTTGGCTAATAACATTAGCTCATCATTCAAATAGATTGTGACTTTTCCTAGTGTGGTTTACTCTAATAAGCTTGTTTATTTTCCTACATTATCTTTTTTTGTTCGGTATAGAAATATGAAGACCACTGGCTATCTGCCATGACATAATTAGATTTGAGTTTCTAACTTGGAGCTTACAAACTGCACCAGCTGCAGCTTCCCTTATTTATTTTAAGGAAAATCTAGCAAAAACCTTTAAGGCTAAAACAACCTCAGATACCAAGTCAACTGTCTTTGCTGTTTGCTGATGCGACAAGAAAATGAGAGGAAAAGGTTACAGATGTGGAAAGTTGAACTGTCATTACTCTGGTGCGAGCGAGCAGCCTCACCTGGACACTCCAACCCAACTAGCGCTACAAAGCATAGAGCTAATGGCAGCAATTTTTCAGCTTATTGTAGATGCATCCTATTAAGGTCAGGGAATTTGGAAAGKGGGCGGCAGGGGTAGCCAGGGTGAGGTTAGTTCAAATAAAAAATAAAGAAATCAAATCGGTGCAGAATAATTAGAGGGCATAACATACAAAATCCACATTTTAGCTGTAAAATGCATGTTRTTGCGTACTTGGAATCTCGAAGAGTGCAGAAAAGTTGAATTTGGTTTCTCCCGGTGCTGCAAAGGCATCTTTATAATTCTGTTTGGGATATATTTTTCAACCTGTTCCGTTTTCTCTATTTTCTATGATGTTTTCTGAACTATTACATCAAATTATTTGCGATGGAACTGCCAAATAAGGTCTGGATTTACCAACTGCAATTTGTTGGTCTTCATTCTCCTCTGGCTCTGGGTCAGTCTCTGGCTCCAACATGTAAGGCTGGATGGACAAGTCTTCTGTTGTTGACATCTTTTAATTAATTTGTAAATAAAAAGTTTCTGCAACGCAATATAGTCGTAAACCTCTCTATCGAACTAGAATGGATCGCTCTGGAAGTTGGTGTGTGTGAGGTGCCTTGTTTTGGATTTGAAGAGACAGCCTCAAAACGAACCTCAGAAAAGGGGTGAAAGAGGGGCTTGTGGAGTTACAATAATTCAGATCAAAGCATTGCAGTTCCACTTTATACAGACCCCAACATAATTTAAATATCAAGAAGGACTTAAAGCATATGTCTCCTGTAAGTTCTAGGAGTGCAGAAAGAAAAATAAATCAAAGGTTTTAAAACAGTTGTTAGATGTTTCCCGTGTTGTTTACTGTCACAGGGGTCCAGGTTTAACATTTCAACTTTAGGTCAATGTGACTAGTTATTAGTAATATAACCAGAGATTGAGCACATTTGTAAAAATTGGTCAAGGGTATGATGCTCTAAAAGTATGTTTTTCTCTTTTACACGTTCAGCTAATGCAGATTCTCAGCATTTCTGACCACAGCCGGATGGAATTACCGCTCTTTGGTTGAGTGACTCAAACAAAACGTGTTGCTCTGTCCTGTTCYGCTTTCTCTCATCACCTAATTGACAGGAATGAGGGGTGAAAAGGTTACAGAGAATCAACAAGTCAACAAACTACAAGAGTCAATATTTTTAGCTGCAGCTCTTTCATTAAGGCTATCATAATTGTGCTGGAATAATATAAATTCAAACTGATGGTGATGTAAATGTTTATTAAGTAGCATTAGCACATTGTTTTTACCTTATTTTACTTATTTGTTTGTTTCACAAGAACGCTCGCTCATCCATTTTTAAATGAGCCCAGAATCTGTTTGGATTTACTGCTTTTCCCAGATTATCATGCGCATCATTATCTTTTTAGACACAGACTACACCAGGGTCTACATTTCATTTTAATTCTGCTGTAAAGCACCACTGATCAGTGACCACAGAGGCTCAACCCTTCTGCATCTTTAATGCCCTTCCTGCACTGTCTATAGCCATAAAAAAAAACCATGCAGCCATAGGCTCTGAGGTTAGAAGATGGCCGACAGCGCTGCTCTTTCATCRATTCAGTTTTAGTCCAACTCCTGCTTTCAGCATCGCGAGGAAGGAGGGTTTCGTGGAACGGGGGCAGAAACAAACATGGACGACCGCCTCARCAGAATCAACACAACGGGAACTTTCTGGCAAAGTGTCACCTGTGGGAGAGTGAGATTAAAAATGCAGGAGCCATTTAAACAGTATGTAAAATTGGACTGATTAAAAATAAATGTGCCCTCTGTCTTCTCAACTCTCTGCCTAACAATGAAGAATGAACAAAGACGCAAAAAAAAAAATCAGGTGTTTTTAAGTTGTCTCAGAACTAAGTCAGGAAATTCACCAAGTTAGTCACACTTTATTGGTTCCAGGATGTCATATAAGTGGGTTTATTTGAGAAAGAAGATCCTAACATTTGTCCAATCTTAACACATCAGCGTGTGAACCAGGGGATCCCTTTGCGGATGACATGTCCGCTCCACATGGGAAATCATCACAAACCAATCTGCTGGGCCATCTGGATCGTTTCAGCGGGCTTGTTTGTTTTAGACGCGGCACATCTGTGCTCACCGTGTATTCAAACTTGTACAGAGCAAACCAGATATTTTGCTTCCATCACCTGAGGGATTTCATTTATTCCTCAGCTGAATTTGGCACAAATAGATTTAAACTAGAGACATTCTGCAACAGAATTATTTATTTGCATCAGTCGTTCGAACCATCAATTTGAAAGATGCACTTTTATTATTATTTTTCTTAAAATGCAACAATTGTCTCAAGAGACCAAAGAATACAGAGAGAATACGGTTGAGAGTACAATGAAGATAATCTTTGCCACAGGGTTATGTAGGGTTATTTCGGAAGAAAATTAAATATTTATCGTGCCGTTTTGATAAAAAAAAACTATATTTATTTTCCAAATCCTAAAGTCTAACATCCTCTAAACGTTTCTTGAGCTTGGCATTCAGTTTTACATATTAGGTGTTTTCATTTATTCCTTTATAATGGCAGTGATTATGCAATATTTGTTTGTTGAGGACCCAAGGATGCTTTAATTAGAATTATAAAAATAAAAGTTGTTTTTAAGTTTAAAAATCTCAGCTATATTTCATAACACTAGCTGAGAAGCTGTTCAAAAAAAAAACTTTGCAACATGGCAGTTTAGATTAGGGATTAGTGAAATTAAACCAACACGCTTACTTGCTCAGATAATTGTGTACCAAGAAGAATGAGAACAGCAAATTCTGAGTGTCCCACGCTGTAACCCCAGGTCCAAAACACAGTGACTGAGCCAAATGTACGCTTGGCTGATGCTACGCACTAAAAAAAACAAAACAAGCTGACTGGAAGAAAACAGCGTCCTGGCACGCTGGCGTCTGGCACCGCACATCTGGCATTTAAAAAGCCTCAGAGCAAACAGGCTGACATTATTGTTTCGATGGGCTCTTTCAGCCACCTGGTTTCAGGGATCTATTGTCAAAGACTTGAATGAGACTAAAAGCAGCGTTTGTGTTTACTTCGCAGCCAAATGTCACGGACTCAAATGGCAAAAAAATGGGTTCGTTTGAATCAAGGAATACAATCTTCTCTTGGGACGCTTTTATTTTGCCTTTGTTGACAAAAATCTGACTTTAAAAAGGTAGAAGTCCTCTAAAAATGCAGCCCTGTGAGGATAAAAATGAAACTTTTTCTGATTCTATAAGTMTATATACAGCGGGTAAAATAAGTATTGAACACGTCACCATTGTTCTCAGTAAATATATTACTAGAGGTGCTAATGACATGAAATTTTCACCAGATGTCGGTAACAACCCAAGTGATCCATACATAAAAAGAAATCAAACCATAAATGTCCAGAAATGAAGTTATTTGTAATAATGTGAAATGGCACAGGGAAAAAGTATTGAACACACTTACTGAAATGTATCTAATACTTTGTACAAAAGCCTTTGTTGTCAATGACAGCTTCAAGACGCCTCCTGTATGGAGAAACTAGTGGCATGCATTGCTCAGGTGTGATTTTGACCCATTCTTCCACACAAACAGTCTTCAAATCTTGAAGGTTTCGTGGACCTCTTCTATGAACTCTGATCTTTAGTTCTTTCCATAGATTTTCTGTTGGATTCAGGTCAGGTGATTGGCTGGGCCATTCCAGCAGCTTTAGTTTCTTTCTCTGAAACCAACTGAGAGTTTCCTTGACTTTGTGTTTGGGCTCATTGTCTTGCTGAAATGTCCAGCCACGTTTCATCTTCATCATCCTGGTAGATGGAAGCAGATTTTTATCAAGAATGTCTCTGTACATTTTTCCAYTCATCCTTCCTTCAATTATTTGAAGTTTGCCAGTACCATATGCTGAAAAACAGCCCCACACCATGATGTTCCCACCTCCAAACTTCACTGTTGGTATGGTGTTTTTGGGCTGATGTGCAGTGCCATTTGACCTCCAAACATGATGTGTATTCTGGCATCCAAACAGTTCAATGTTGGTCTCATCTGACCAGACTATATTCTCCCAGTATTWCACAGGCTTGTTTAAATGTTGTGCAGCAAACTTTAAAGGAGCTTCAACATGCTGTTTCTTCAGCAGTGGAGTCTTGCGTGGTGAGCGTGCATACAGGCCATGGTGGTTCAGTGCATTACTTATTGTTTTCTTTGAAACAATCGTACCTGCTAATTCCAGGTCTTTCTGAAGCTCTCCACAAGTGGTCCTTGTCTCTTGGACAACTCTTCTGATAATTCTTTTCACTCCTCTGTCAGAAATCTTGTGAGGAGCACCTGGTCGTGGTCGGTTTATGGTGAAATAATGTTCTTTCCACTTCTGAATTATGGCCCCAACAGTGCTCASTGGAACCTTCAGAAGTTTAGACATTCTTCTGTAACCGATGCCATCATTATGCTTTGCAACAATTAGGTAGTGAAGGTCTTGAGAGAGCTCTTTACTTTTACCCATCATCAGATGGTTCTTGTGTGATACCTGGCCATCATTTGGGACTGAACCAGCTGATATTAACTTGCACTGACAAGAGGCAGGCTTGCTTTCTAATTACTAAGAGAGTTCAGCTGGTGTCTTGCCTTTCCATACCTTTTTACACCTCCCTTTCTTCTTGTGTTCAATACTTTTTCTCTGCGCCATTCCACATTATTACAAATAACTTCATTTCTGGACATTTATGGTTTGATTTCTTTGTATGTATGGATCACTTGGGTTGTTACCAACATCTGGTGAAAATTTCATGTCATTAGCACCTCTAGTAATATATTTACTGAGAAAAATGGTGACGTGTTCAATACTTATTTTACCCACTGTATAAAAAAAGCTTTTTAACAAACAGCACTTCAACCTTTACCCAACATAATGCATCAGCTTGGTAAAGAGTGCAGCCATTCAAGTAGATTTAGTGTATCCTTGAGGCAAAAAGCTCATTCTGCTTGAGAAGCTGAGCATGGCTCCAGGAGCTGAGTGTTTTTCTGCTACATCTCTGCCCTTCACACTCACTCGTGCCATTTCTGTGTTTCTGCAGATGTTATTTCTCCACAACATGAACTCTGATCACAGCATAGATTAGAATTACCAATGTAACAGAAAAGGAAGAGCTTGATCCATGATGTCGACAAAACAGGTTTATATGTACTAAAATATGATGCACGATTGATCCATAATTTTTCCTAAAAGAGCTCTACCATGTATACTCTTATACTGTATCTAATTACCGGTACTGACGTATTAGTAAATCTCTAAGAGAAGGAATGGTCAAATAAGACATTAAAGAGCTGATATGCCAGTTTTTAACAAAGCATATACATCGTGTGTGCGTTAAGAGTTAACTTGTGTAGAAAAGCCCATTCCAGTTAATGTTTTCTGTCTCCTTTTATTCCCACACAGAAGATAATCCATAACCGAAGCCAACCCTGAACAAAGCATGTTCCGACCTGCAGACCTATGATCAGGAGGTTTACTTTATTCTTCACAGAAAAGAACAGTGATAATAGTGACAGAAAAGGAAACACAGGAAAGGAAAACAGGAGAAGAAAGAAGACAGCTGTTTTTATCGAGTCTGCATTTGGCTGAATGCAGACACTTCTTTGTAATAAAACAAACAAAACAAAACAAAAAACCCTCTAGTGTTTGTTATGGATTAAACTTTATGCACATCATATACAGACATATTTCACAAGAACAGACAGGTTTGGTTTAAGAAGTGAACTTTAAGAAAAATGAACCGTTAAATGAACCACGAGAGGACCGTGAGGACGTGGGTCTTCTTCACGTGTAGTTGTTGAAGTTTTGCAGGGTGTACGTCGCCACGGTGTCCAACAGCCAACCGCGGGTCACAACTGTGGCTTTTCTGGAGAGGTCTGTGAACCCAACAGCAGATGATTCAAAATGGTTTCCACACATTTTCTCCAATGTTTACTCTACTTTCAACAAATACAATACAGGGGCCATTTTTTTAGAAGGCTACTGGGAATTATCCAGTGTTTCGGCCCACAAACCACAACATCCTGAGTTTAACAAAGACCACAGAATCACTTCCTCCACTTCTGAATAGATCTTTACAGACAGTCAAATAAAAACATGCTCTATTCAGGTAGCACTACTTTATACACGTAATGCAACAATGATTGTGAGGTTCTCAGAGGCCAAGAGAGAATATGCTTAGAAATGTATTTTTTATGTTATACAGCATGATATATTAACAAATGTTCATTTTAAACTAATTATCTAAGGAACTCAAGAATTAGACAGTTGCTTTTTAAAATAACGAGTTATTTCTCTCATTATCTTGAGATAGACAGTCATTTTCTTTATCTAATTAGATGCCAAATTATTTACTTCATTATCCCAAGACAGCCAACTTAATGTAATACAAAGATTTGCAACCTTATTATCCTAAAAATAGTAAAGTTAGTTTTCTGTTATGGGGTAATATATTTATTTGGAGTTAGAAAAGCCAATTTTCTTGTTATCTTGAGAAAACAAAGCTCATTTTCTTAAAAATAACAGGCTAAAACTAGCTTAGCTTTCTTGTGATAATGAAACAGACATGATTGGGGGGAAAATACACACAGTTATTCAGAGTAGGTATGATTTCTTCCTGTTTCTGTGAATTAATTGGATTATTACCAAAAACACAAATGCACATTTCTGTTTAGATGTAGTTTTCACAATGACAGCAACTTGAAGATATAGAACAGTGATGCTCATATCAAACAAAAGACTAAAAATGTATTACAAAACATATACTTATTATTAGGCTGACAAGATCTGAATGACATAGGAACAGAGGTTTGTCAGATATGCAGCATGGTTATTTAAGCCTGATTATGTCATGTTTTTATACAACATCCATTTCATCCTGATTTAATTCAAATTTCTTTGTTTGAAAAATATAACAAAAATGAGAACAAAAAAGTGATTTAAGAGGTAATCCTAACCTAAAAATGGCTAATATTGTTTGAATGTATTTAATTTGTATAAATCACTACACAAATATAAACACATAAACTTTGTGAAGTTACTTGCTTACAGTCTAATAACTCGGTAGGGTTGGGTGTTATTGGCAAAAAAAATTAATCACTATTAATTGTGGTGTTTAGCCGATAACGATTAATTTGATGATCAATCACCTGGAGTCCCTGGACACCCTTATGTCCTAGTCACATGACCAATTTAGTGGGAAAGATTTGCTCTTCATAAAAATCTGTTCCAAATTGTCAAAATTACAGACTTCGGGCTATACATCAAATTTTAAATTGTGTTGATATATAAATAAATTACAGAACTTTAAATTTTTTTTTTATGTTCGTCATATTTGAAGCGGAGAGGAGCACCGAGCRGACCGACTGGGGAAATATCCAGTCAATCTGCCTGGTGGCATTAATCATATTAATTGTCAAGTGCCAAAAACTAATCGATTAATGTTTTTCTGACGATTAATTACACACGATACGATTATGCCCAATCTAATAACTCGGTATTCACATAAAAAAGATAAAACACAAAATTTTCCCTTTTTGATGAATACTTCTCAGGAGGAAACTGGACGAATAAAGACATGTGCCCTATAACCATTTTGCTTTATCTGACAATATTCTATACGGACTTATCTTTCTACTCGTGTTTCAAAATTATTTCATAGAATGCCTGAGAGGAAAACTTAGTGATTTCAATTAGTGGTGAACAGGAAGAGGCGAAAGGAGAAACGGGTTGTTCAATTACCTGGACTAAAGGTGCCAGAGGACATGGGCGAGGACACACAACATTAAATATGTAGCGGTTTAAATTAGGATGCCGAGAGGATGGAGGAGGGGAGAGGGGGGCTCGGAGACAGTTGCTTCCTCTCTATTTCAAATTGTCAGTCTTCCTTGGCTGCGGCGGCCTCTCTTTAAGTGGCCAACTTGTTTTGACATCCCCCTCGTGACAATCTGACATTTTCTCTTGGACATTTTCTCTGCTCCTCGACTTCCTTCACACTCGCTTTCCTGGAAAGCTGCTCCTGTCACTCTTCTGAGGAGCTGGTCTCATTTTGGTTGACAGCGTCAGCCACTTCGGCGTTCAGCCACTCTACACCTGGCCCTCTTAGAGCCACATAAAAATCCACTCACTAATGGACAGACGTGCACCGGACTGCATACAGTTGTAAGAAATCTCCATGTATTCTGATAAGATAGCTATGGTGAACAATGTTTTAGTAAATCACTTCTACAGAAGCAAACCTGACAACTTTTTAAAAAAGACTAAAAGTGTCAAACACAAATAAATAAAACTATTGCTGTGCAGACTTACGGAATCTCATCGAGTAAAGCTAGAAATCTAATTCTTACACACTCATGCTGAGCTTTAATGAGATMTTTTTACCCACAAACCTCCAGAGCTCACTCACTGCTGCTTGTCAAACATTACGAGTGTGCATGAACTCTACTGCCATAATAGGCAGCACTCTCCAAGAGGTTCCTTCACTTATTCTGTATATTTACAGTGATGGGAGGGACCACTACCAAACACACCTCAATAATCATCCAAACTTGTTGGGTTAGAAGCCACTGAATAGGATTCACTCCATGTTTTACTTGTTTCAAAATATTTGTAGGACTTGGTGCTCTACACACATGCATCCCAAAGTGTCAAAGCATTGTCCAAAGTGTTATCTTGGTCCTGTTTACTAATGTGATACAGTTGGACCAGGTTCTAGTTTAAAGGCACACCAGGGTTTAACATTTTTAATACACTGGGAGGCCAATTAAAAACATTTTATGTCACCTATCATTGACTGAACAAACTATATCAATGTTGCCTGAGACACTGAACTTGACTATTTTCAGGCCTTATCAAAGGAATAAAAGGGRAATAATCTTGATGATAACCTAATACAAAGCAAAGTACATTTGTGTTTGGTAGATTAAATTTGTTGTAACAATGCTTTTTGGCAATAAATCTAAARCCGGGTACACACCAGACGCGTTTTGAGCAGCAGGAGCAGCCAGTTTACATGCAAAGTCCATGGTGGACGCACGTCTAGGGGCAGCGCGGCGTCTTTAGCGCGTTTAGCACGGCGCGCCTTCAAGCGGTAGGTGCGGTTTGAGCGTTTTCCATGCATACGGTACGTCCAAAGTAGCCGACGCTAGAGTTCCAAAATTTAACTTTTGCTGCTCGACGCACCGCCTCAACCAATCACAGAGAATCTTTTTTTCCACATGACAGTTTTCTGAATGTTGCCCACTAACCTGAAACAGACAGACAGGAGCTCTTTAGCTGAAATCGACCATCTGTAGTTGGTGTTCTGGCTGGAGATATCAGCACCGATGCAGGTCATCGGCTCGTTAAACTGACCGCGACGTTAAACTGGACTCGGGACAAAACAGTTCGTCAGTTYGCAGCTCCTGGAGTGGCGAAACCCACCGAACAAATCACCTCTAAATTATCTGGTTCAGCACAATGTTTGCTTGCTCTTCGTAAATAAAGCAAAGCCGTTTTCTTTGTTTCATCCGCCATTAAATACAGACCGGAAAATAATCAAGACGCTCCTCCCACTTCAGACGTGCGTCTAGTCACATTCGGTCTGTACGGACATTACTGACAAGTGTCACACCAAAATGCGTTTGGTGTGAACCCAGCTTTATACAGCTGGAAAGGATTCAAACAAAATTCTGTACCCAAAGCCTGTTAATTTCCCTTTTAAATGGTGCCACATTTGTAAGGATCATGCATTTGCAGGATGCATAGTAGAGCTGAGTAAATGGGTTGCACAGATGAAAAATTTTGCCAAATCTTTTCTGCCAAACAGCTTATTTTGCTGGCTTCTGGTACACCAAGGTGCTGCCTATCAGTTGCSTGCTATAAGATATACCACCAAGAAGCATTGTTTAGTTATTTTTTGTTTAGTTTATTCATTCATTTCATTTAAAAACAAAGCAAACTCAATATACAAAAAAGACTAATAAAATAAAATGAAAAGCAGCAGAAGGAAGACAAAAATCTTGTAATATCTGTGCCTTTTTCCATCAAAAGAAGTTCAAACAGTAATAATAAAAAAACAGAAAAAAATTAATAAAAATCAAATCTTTCTCAGACAATTTTAAGGATACATATTATGTCATTTCATATTTCTTCAACAGACTGGATTTTATCATTCTCCTAAACTTATACATTGATCCTGCACTTTTAATATCGTTCTYCAGATTATTCCACAATTTTATTCCTTGCACTGAAGTACATCGTTCCTTCAAACTAGTTCGGACTTTAGCTTTCACAAACCTAAAAATTGTTACAAGATATATCACCAAGAAGCATTGTTACAACAAAGAAATAATCTATCAAACACAAATTTCCCTACTTTTTGTGTTAGGTACATTTTAGAGATAGCTAAAATAGTTTATTTGTAGCCACCTTTAATAAAAAATAAGCTTCCAATTAGCTTTGAAAAACAGTTTTTAAGTTTTTTTTGCTTGCTATCATTTTTAATCTGTATTTATGT